AACTTCTTGGTCTATTTGCTGCCACATTGATTTAACCCTTTCACTACCAGACTTTCATTGGCAGGCCGCCAGACTCCGTACTAGTTTAGTCTAATTTATTATCAAATAATATGAACTTTATTTCACTTATTGATAAATTTCTCAAACCTCCTGCGAGAACAATATTTACCGATTGCAAGAAGAACCGCGCCAAAATTTTTAGTGTTGCCGCTATAAAATAACTCTTTGAAATAACTCGAGTAGGTTATCTCAAATTAACACAATTTTTTAAATACAAATTTTGGAATATTTCTATTACTAGTAATATTGAATTTTTAAAGGTGCTGTCCCGCATCGATCTTATATCGGTCATATTCAAATTTATTGCATACAAATGTCTTTCATATTGTAATCAATCTATAGAAATTGATCAAAACTAATGTCTAATTATTCAAGTCTATTGTTCCTTCACCATAATTCACAAAATTGTAGACTGGGTTAACAAGTCGCTAATAAAAAAGATGAAGTCAAATAACATTTTTTTACACTTTCAGAACTTTGAGGGGTCATTTTCTAAGTGATGTATAGATATTAATGAGCTATTAGCATTGAAATTGCTGACTTGGCACTTTTAAAATCTGGGACTTCTCCTTTAATACACAATCATTAACGTTTTCCTTATCTATAACATTAAAGTAGCACTAATGTCTTTCTACTCAATTTTTTTAAACAAAAATTCTCACCACTACACGGACACACATACAAAAGGAAGTGTTGTTTACTATTCTGATACTCAGTCGATCTTTTCATTTGTTTTTATCACTAAATTGAAGAGAATTTCGGATATAAGATCCTCATCAGGACTGCTGATTTTAAAATTAGGGTTAATTTTCTTAATTTAAACTCGAACAAAAAGTTCTCACAAATGCACGAATACACACTACAAATAGACTGTGATTTGATTATTCCATCATATAAATACCCCCCGAAGAAAGCTGATTTGGAAATGAGGGGTTAAGTTGCCGAATATTTAGAATTAGAAAGCGCAAACACTGAACAGGAGCATAGTTGTTCTTAAACAAAAAGTTTTCACAATTGCATGAACAGACTACCAAAGAATTATTCCAATTATAAAAGGAAGCTTTTTTTTAATCAGGGGTTAAGCTTGCAATAATTAGACTTAGAAATAACTGAGCCGGAAGTTTGTTATAATTCAAACAAAAAATCCCTAAATGCACAAACACACTACAGAAATTTCAGCCTGTCTTACTCAATTGAGCGCATCGTGATGTTTCCGATATAAAATCCTCATCAGGTCTGCTGTTAAAGAAACATAAGTTCACGCTCCAGAGTTATATGAGCAAAACAAGCGAATTCACTGAACAAGAAGTAACAGCACACTCAACTAAAGGAGACAGTGATTTCAATTTCCAATATTCAGCTGGCCATTGTAAAGTCATGTTTCAGTTATTTGGTTGTATACAGTCTAGAAACTTTACTCCATTTCTTAAATTTAGCTTTCATCAATTCTGTTTCAATGTAAAATGTTTCTAATGTATCGATCTGAAACAGAAAATAAATCATAGTTAATCTTCAATCTTCCACGTCTTGTGACAAGCCAGAAGTCCAAATGACACATCTCGCCCAAACATCTTACAGTTTGTGACACGATATCAGTGAGCAACCATTGATGTCAAATTCGTGGTTGACTGGAACCAATGCCAATAATTCTATAAGCCTTTTTCCACGTCTTGTGACGAGCCAAATGCCAAATGACACATCTCGCCCAAACATCTTACAGTTTGTGACACGATATCAGTGAGCAACCATTGATGTCAAATTCGTGGTTGACTGGAACCAATGCCAATAATTCTATAAGCCTTTTTCCACGTCTTGTGACGAGCCAAATGCCAAACGACACATCGTGTCCCACACTAGCTTACAGTTTGTGACACGATATCGATGAGCAACCATTAATGTAAAATTTGTGGTTGGCTGGAACCAATGCCAATAATTCTATAAGCCTATTTCCACGACTGGTGGCAAGTCAAATGCCAAACGACACATCGTGTCCCACACTAGCTTACAGTTTTTGACACGATATCGATGAGCAACCATTAATGTCAATTGTAGCAAAAGCCATCGATTTTGTGTATTTGGGAACCAATGTCATTAATTCTATAAGCCTTTTAATGTTTTTCCACGTCTTGTAACAAGCCAAACGACACATCGTGTCCATCAAGCTAACAGTTTGTGACACGATATCAGTGAGCGACCATTAATGCCAAATGTAGTAAAATGCTACCGTTGTATGTGAACCAATGCCATTACGTGTAGAATTCAGTACCCAATATATTCTTAAAGCGTAAAAAGGTTTTCCACGTCTTGTGACAAGTCAATGCCTAACGACACATTATATCCAACTAGCTTACGGTTTGTGACACGATATCAGTGAACAACCATTGAATTAAATGAAGTAGGCTTATCAAGCAACATATTTTGTAGTTTTTATAAACCAATGACATAAAGTGTACAAATTCCATGCCCAATATAGTTTTTAAGCGGGAAAATGTTTTCCCATCTGATTGAATCTGCTTCAGGCTAACCATGCCCCTGTTCTATAAAAAAACATGGATGCTCATAGCTACAGAGAATCGTGTTTTGTACAATGGCAGTTTTCTTGTGTCAGAATGAATTTATGCATGTTAATGTGTCTGCACACTTATAAACTAATATGCATTCTGAAATGAATACCAAATTCACAACATTATTGATTCTTCGAAGAAGATTCCGAGCATACAGACATAGTCGCAAAAGGGCACCATGTTTTGTGTGTCTGAATACTTAAAAATCAATATGATTTCTAAATTGTATTTCAAATGTTACGAATATTAAAAAATCATAAGGTGAAAACCTAATATACGAAACAAACCCCTATATAAAATTTACGCTTTGTGACACATTTCAGAAAAAAATCGTTAGTAAAACGTTATTTAGACACAAACATCATTTTATTTTATTTCATCTCTAACCCCAATAAGATAAGAGAGTAGCCAATGCCAAGTATGTTGATACTGCGATCTGGCATCAGCGTGGAATCCTTATCAATCCAATTAACATTTTTCAACTGGATCGAGTTCAGCTCACTTCATACAATATTAACAAATTGTATACAAATCAACGCTATATTTAACAAAATAACTTTCACAGGGAGGTAGTTCTGAACGTTTGGGCTGCGGTGGTTCACTGGTGCTTACTCGCTAATCTAAATGTCATAGGACGAGATAATTGCTCAACCCCGTTCCCCTTCACCCTTTCATTGGTACAGGTTGGAGATATGGAAAAAAACGTCTTGTCGTTCGAATTGGGCAAATACCGAGGCTGATTCAGTTTCGTTGCCAGCCTCTCGAGACTGGGGTGTACAAATAGGGGGCAGACTGACTCATTTGGAAGGGGGGGCTGGGTTGATGAAGAGACTGAATTCAAAATGCGGCAACTCTGTCGACGGCTGAGTAGGTTCTCCCGAGAAAACTTTCGAAATATTCATTTGATTTGGTCTTGCATTTTGGGGCAAAACGTCTCAAGGTCATATTTTCGAATGTGTGATTAAATAAAGAGAGGGTGCAAAGCACTTTCCTAGGGGGAGCAAATTTCTTTGATAATGGACTTTTTCCGATGAACAATCTTGGCAAGTTATGATAGCAACATGTATTAGAATTATTGATACACTATAATGGTACACTATACAAAGCACTTATGTGTAATCTAAAGTAAAATATGTATTTTCTAAGGAGGTAAAAGTGCTTACTAATTGTATTTTCAAGTAGTTTGTTTTGGTATTTAAAGTAAGAAATTGTTCAGATTGACATCTTTAAAACTGTATCATGATTTGAATAACCATCTATTTCTACCCGTCAGTAAACTAAGCCTTTTCTCCACGTTCTGGCTCACATAGGATTACAATTGTTTTCTAGTTATTCGGCGAGAAATGGAATGAAATGAGTTGTGCGTCCTATTTCTAAGCACCATTGGGCTAATAAAGATCGACAACGCCATGCAGTGTGCAATGAGAGAAATTTTGCTCGGAATGTGGCATCAGCCTAGGTGCGTCTGTAGATGATAAGTAGCACGGCATTCTATGCAATACAGTCGTATAAATAGTTAATTCAATCACCGATAGAGCACAATTTAAGATATTCATAGCTATTTTAGATTTAAAATGCTATGTTCGATTCATCTACAAAGAATTTAATAACTACGACATGATGTAGTTAATATGTCGTTGAGAAGATTGATAACGACCCGAAAATGACGACAATGTAATCTGTCTCGTTATTTTTTTTTATTTTATCATTATTATTATTTTTTTAATGGCTAAAAATTGCTAAATTCAATCGCGGTAATGTTGTATTTTGTACATAAATGACTTTATACAATTATACAGTACAATTACACAATTACACAATTACACAATTACATAATTACATAATATTTTGTTTATATAGTTTGTGTGTATATTTTATATCTATAATTCAGCAGTAATATTGTAATTTGTATGTAAATGAATTTATACAATTATACAGTACAATTATACAATTACATAATAAACCTAGTTTGTGTATATATTTTATATCTATAATTCAGCAGTAATATTGTAATTTGTATGTAAATGAATTTATACAATTATACAGTACAATTATACAATTACATAATAAAACTAGTTTGTGTATATATTTTATATCTATAATTCAGCAGTAATATTGTAATTTGTATGTAAATGAATTTGTACAATTATACAGTACAATTATACAATTACATAATAAACCTAGTTTGTGTATATATTTTGTAT